CTGCCTCTGTGAATTTTTTTTTTTTTTTTTTAGAGCTATCATCTTTTAAAAATATTTGCCAGCACATGTACACAGGACATGATTATGCTCATCTGGGGGGGCTGGCCTGTGTGCATACTTAATTCTTTTTATGCCCCCTTCTCACCCCTATCATGTTATCATTAAAATTGGAGCAGATATAATTGCCTTTCCATTTTTTCCCCTAGATGCTTCAATTTCAAGGAGAATATCTTTAGGCCAACATGTTTCACTTCACTTTAAATTATCTCTTGGTTTTGTTTTGCAGAACCAAGGATTGAACTCAGGCCCTTGCGCTTGCCAGGCAAGCACTTATTCTACTGAGCCATCTCTCCAGCAAATTATCACTTTTGGGAAGCTGGGATATCATCAGTTTTTGCATACTAACTTTTTTCTCCTCCAAACAGTTAAAAGCTCCCAAGAGATACCAGCAGCAACCTCTTACAAAGGATCTGGTACACTGGCAGTGTTTCCTTCCTTCCTTGCAGGTGAGGCCTCTGAAGCTCCGAGAGCCCACTGAGCTGCCTGCCCGCAGGCTCAGCAGGTCGTGACTCCATGGGCCTTTAGCCTTTCTTTGTGCTGGAGTTTCCAGGATAATGGGCTGGGGCTGCGCTCACAGAACTGAATGCTCCTGCCTGAAAGATCCACACTCAGCATTGGGCTGGCCTTTTCCAGGACTGGGGAGCAGAAGCCCTTGAGGCTTGGTCATGTGGCCAAGCGGAGAGCCTGGGGAGACAGAGCCTGTTCTAGTAAGGCTCCTTCTTCGAGGGAGCTCCCTGCAGGCCTCCTGCAGCAGTTGGACTGGGCTGGGCCTAAGCTGGGCCCCAACATACCTGGGTGCCACTGTGAGCTGCGGCACGGGCAAGGGGCACAGAGGTGCTCTGGGGAGAGTGGAGGAAAGGGCAATTCGTGGCCTTGCTCCTTGCGCCACCCACAGAAGGGGCCCCTTCCCTTCCTGGGCAGAGCAAGGAGCAAGGGCCCCTGAGGTGAGGCCCCAAGGTGTGTCAGGAGAAAGCTGCAGCCTGTGCTTCTGCTCCCAAGGATGCAGCTCAGCCTTTCTCCTCAGGGAGAGAGAACTCACTTCTTCCTGTCCTGAGTGTGGTAACTGTGTACTGGAAATGCAACCAGGCTTGTAACTGTGATCTTACAGGTCAGTCTTTTCTCTGGCTGAACCACTGTCAGTTGTTATTCTGAAACAGTTGGTTTGGAGGTGCTGGGACTGTGCCCAGGGCCTCATGTGGACGAAGCACATACCCCACACGGAGTGTGCTCCCTGCCCCATTTGTATTTTGTTTTGTTTTGTTTTGTTGAGACAGGGTCTCACTATGTAGCCCAGGCTGGCCTTGTGCTTCTCTCTTGAGGGCTGGGAATAAAGGTGTGTACCATCATGCTCAGCTGGAATTTTTTTTTTTTTTTTCCAAGTATTGGGTCTTGAGCTCAGGGCTTTCTCATTTAACTACATCCCCAGCCTCTTTTTGCTTTTTTATTTAGAGATTAGGGCTTACTAAATTGCTAAGTTTCCTAAGCTGTGCTCAAATTTGTGATCTTCCTGCCTCAGTCTCCTAGAGGGCTGGAATTGCAGGCACACATCAGGATGCTTGGCTTCATTCTGAATCTTTGAGGCTGCATCTGAGCTGTCAAATGTAATGTCTGGAATTAATTTCCGGCCAAAGGAAATGAAAAAGGAGCTATTACAAGAGTTAAAAAAAAAAAAAAAAAAAGGTGTGGGGTGCTAAGTTTGTCCACAAAGAATTTCACTACAGTACTTGGCAGGCCATCTATGTCTCACATAGTTACCCAGGCGCTGGCAGGAGCAGGCCTTTTTAAAGACATGGTAACTAGGGGCTGGTGAGAGACTGGTGAGAGGCTGGTGAGATGGCTCAGTGGTCTAAAGCACCTACTTAGAACAAACTAAGCCAAGCAAAGCACAGGGACCATGGTTCAATCCCCCAGCTCCACATGCCAGCCAGCCCTGGTGGGCTGAGCTGGCCATACACACACAATAAATAAATTAAAAAAAAAAAAAAAAAAAAAAAAAAAGACATGGTAACCAAAAGGGAAGCACCGTAAACCACATCCTCAAGTGCAAACTTTCCAGTGCTCCCACCACCTGCCTCAGAGCCACACTGCTTCTGCATAGCCCAGAAGGCTTTAAAAACATCCTTAGGTCTGGGGATGGTGAGATGGCTCAGTGGTCTAATGCACCTACTTAGAACAAGATTAGCAAGAGCACAGGGACCTCAGTTCAATCCCCCAGCACCACATGCCAGCCAGCCCCGTCCCCTGGTGGGCTGAGCTGGCCACACACACACATAAATAAATAAATAAATTTTTTTTAAAAAAATAAAAACATCCTTAGGTCTGAACCCTTTAGCTCAGTCACAAGCTCTGGTTTAATTCCATGAGACAGAAGACATATTTTGTTGGCACAGCCATAAGCAGAACTCAAAGATACAAGGCTGTCTAAAACCAGGGAATCTCATCAGGAAGTCCAAAACTACAGGCCACGTTGCAAGCTAATTCAGGTTTAGGTGAGACGTTTATAAAAAGTTAATGGGCTGGCCAAATAGCTCAGCAGATTAAAGCACCTGCTTAGGCAGAGCGTAGCAGCTGAGGTTCAATCCCCCAGAGTGCTGTGCCAGTCCCACCCCTGGGAAGCACTAAGGCTGGGAAAGAAACTGGGTGTGGTGGCACATGCCTGTAATCCCAGCACTTAGGAGGCTGAAAACAGGAGAATCACTACAAGTCTGATCTACGTAGTGAGACTCTGTAGACCCTGTACTAAATAAATACATAAAAAACAACTAATATCAGCCAGGTGTGCTGCTGTAATCCCATGGTAGGAGGGATGCAAATTCAAACTCAGCCCAGGAAATTTAGTGAGGCCCTGTCTGAAAATGAAAAATAAAAAGGGCTGGGGATGTAGGTAAGTGTACCGTGAATATTTACCTTAATGCTTGTTACCTTTCCTAGGAAAGGCTGTAACATCCTAATGTTCTCTAGGGATGCTTTCAGTGGAAATCTCCCCAGATGCAATTCGGCAGGCTGGGGGAAATTCAGTTTAGGCATTAGCCGAAGTATGGAATGTCTACTATGGCTTCAGAAAGGGCTCCACTTACCTGCAATTTACTCAGCTTCTCTGGTAGACTTGCTTCACTTTGGCATTCATAAGACAAATCAAGAGAGAGGAAATCAACCGAACCCTGGAAGTAAGTAAATATGAGCAATTGCAAAGAGCTTCTCAAAGTTGTTTCTTCTCTTATTACTAAACCAAATGTTCTGAAATGGGACTTTATAAAAGGGGCACTGGAAAAACTCAGGGGTGTGTGTGTGTAGAGATGTCCCTGTGTATCCCTGGGAATTCAGCATCTAGGTCAGTGAGGGCAAATCTCTTAGAGCTGTCAGTGGTAACAAACACCTGGCTGTAGCACATGTGCCATAGGCTTGCCACCACTGAATTCTGTGTGCTTACATGTTGGCACACAGAAAGCACTCACAAGTGTGTGTGACTAAGCAAGTGTGTGAACAAGCCTGCCAGAAATGCTGGCTCCACCATTAGGCAAGCAGTAAGGGAGGAGCCGGAGTCCCGAGCTGTCTGTCTCCAGGCCCTCATGATCTCTAGAACGCTCCCTGAGTTGTTGGTTGTTTTAATTTCAGGCCACAGTTTAAAGCCCAACCCAGTTAGCCCTCCTACCAGCTGAAAACAGCCCTCATGGTCCCGGCTTCAACACTGATCAGTGGCACCACTCTAGCCTTGAGCTTCAGAGTCATGGAGACACCACAGGGAGTCACTTGCTGCTTCCTTGAGCGCGCCTTGCTGGCTGCTCCATTTCTATACTTGATCTTGGCCAAAAGGCTGAGAAACCACAGCTGCTCATTTCTATCCCTGTGGCGACTAGACCATCGCTTGCCTTCCTGCTCTCATTGGTCGACTATCAGGGCTGGTGAACCTGTGGCATGCATGCCGCAGCTGGCTGCTCGCTATCATGGACAGACTTATTTCCTTTGACAAGGATGTGGATAATGGCATCAGGTAAGAACAAAGTGGCCCACGGAACATTCACACCTGAGTCACTACAGAGTCCCATGGCTTTCCAAGCCATGTTATAATGTGTACAAAAGACTCCATGCATTTGCTCTATGATGGCAAGTATGACTTGCACTTCCCCCTACTCATCCTCTCAGTTCAGCTTCTGTTTCTCAATCACCTACAATAAAGACCAACTGACTTCCTAGTTTTGAGCCAGGGATATAGCTCAGTGGCACAGTACCTGCCTGGCAAGTGTAAGGTCCTGAGTTTGAGTCCTGGTACCAAAAATGAAATTCTTACAGTACTCATCCTACTTTTGAAAATCACTGTGCTGGGAATAGGTGTCTGGAGTCACATTTAAAGATGAATAAGATCTACAGAAGCTTATCATTTAATAAGGAGGATTAATAATGTACCAATTATATTAAGAAAACACAGAAAGTTAGATAGTTATGAAAAGGCTTCATTAGCTCTGCTCAAATCTTAATGAGGAAAAAAAAAAACCTTGAGAACAGACTCTGCAGGGAACCTGGGATACCTTCAAGTGGTCCAGGCCTGTCCCACCACACCAAGACTTGATCTCTTGCTGTGCTGCTGAGCTATATCCCCAGTCCCTTATTTTGGTCTTTTTCAGACAGGGTTTCCTTATGTAACTCAGGTTGGCCTTGAACTCACTTTGTAGCCCAGGCTGGCTTTGAGCTCACAGTGATAGCCTGCCTCAGCATCCTGAGTGCTGGGATTACAGGTGTGCCCCACCAGGTCACATATGGTCTCTGTGTTCTTTACTAACTCTGTATGTGAGTCTGGTACAGAGCCAAGCTTGGGAGATGGTAGTCTAAACATACAGCTAAGGGTTTCAATGGGACAGAGCTCATCAGATTGAGCAGAGTGTTCATGAGCTCTCCTAATGCACAGCACATTCACAGGGATACTAACCATAGGTAGAATTCTGCTGGAAAAAGATCTGAGCAAGGTAGGACAGGGAAGACATCTAGTAAATGTCATGTATTAAGCAAGAGAATAGAAAGGGAGCCTGGGATAGGTACTGGGTAAAACAGAAGTGTGGCCAGAGAGACAGAGAGGCATTGACAGAATACATACACATTGGAAAAGTCCCCAGGAATCCACAGATTCAGGGCAGTGGGGCTTCCCGCCAAGGAATTATCACAGCTGCTTTTGGATGATTGCTCCAAAACACTGTACAGCACACAGGGGGCAGAAGCACCAGTTCAAAGGCTGATGCTGCACAAGCGTTTTCTGATTAGCACTTTGGTCTCTGAATTTACAACTGATAGCAGTTATTACCCTTTGTAAATTAATTTAGATGGCATTCTGGTTAGTGGTCTGCCTAATAGCTGTTTATCCTAAACCTTATCATATCTGGGTTTTAAGTCCGTGAGCTGGTAAATCTGAAAACTGAGCCCAACACATGCGATCCTGTGAAGGCAGAGACACCGCGAGCAGAGTTGGCACCACCGCAGACCTGCACTCAGCTGTTTTTCTGAAGGCTTTCTGCGTTGTCCAGCAGACCAGGGTGGGCAGAGCTGTTTACTGCTCACGTTCTTTGTGCCGCTGGGGATCGAACCCAGGGCCTGCTGCTTACAAGACAAGAACTCTACCACTAAGTCACACCCCAGCCTCATTTTTCTGTTAAAAAAAAATCGTAGTTACATTGCAGAGGGCTTAGGAAGCCAAGAAGGGGACTCAAGGAATACATTTTAAAGCCTCTCTACATTAGTATCTGTTTTAACATAAACTGATTTCTTCTGTAATAAGCTGTTTTGAACTCAATAAAGATAAAAAATCAAAGCAAGCAGAAGCATTTGGCTTCTCCATGTGAGCAAGCTGGACTGAGCAAGAGCTGGTGCTGCAACCCATAAGGTTTTGCTTTTAAAATAATTATGAATCTAGAGAATGTATACCACCTAGGAAAGGCATTTATAAAAATGTCACAGCAGCAGACAAAAATTTCATTTGTTTTTAACAATGTAAGCTTTCCTCAAATGCTGTTGTCTCTTTGCACTGTGGTCACCTTGGCAAGTGCAGATGTGGCTGGTTCCAGCAGGAGCTCCAGGAGGTCTGGGGCGGGGAGGACCACGGAGAGCTTTCCACCTGGAAGCAAGCAGAGGTGCGAACAGCACGTGAGCAAGGGCAGCAGGCTCAGACCACAGAAACCACTGGCATGCATTTCCTGCTGACTTTTCTGTTAGACTTACCAACTTTAAAAAAGATTTCTGGGGGCTGGGGATATAGCTCAGCGGCGTAAGTGCCAGCCTGGCAAGCGTAAGGTCCCGAGTTCAATCCCTAGTACCGCCAAAAAAAAAAAAAAAAGATAAAGAAGATTTCTGAAGAACTCATTCACATGGATTCGCCGAAAGATTTTAGAAAACAAGGTGTCTAAGAAAAGTATGAATGAGGACTGTTGACATGCAAATCACTCAGAAAAATCTTTCAGAATAAAAATAATTACCCTGCCCTGCCACCTGTAACAGGACACCTCGAGGCAAGGACCCCTTCCTAAACTTCTCCAAAGGAGGGATGGTCTCAGGAAACCAGTATGTTGTCCTTGTTCACTGTATGAATATCTGTAAATCCCTACTATGCACTGGGGTGAAACCAAAAAATAACACGTGCACCTTGCTTCACTTTGAGATGAGGCAGCATAATAATGGTTTTCAAACTTTTATGTGCATCAGACTGCCCGCAATTTACAGGCTGTGCCCCTTGGCATGGATTCAGCAGATTCGGGCAGGCTGACATGATTCTGCTGCTGTGGTCCTCAGACCACAAAATGAGAAACAGTGCTGCAGAGTTGAGAGTCCTCATTGTTTTAGATTTCTAACTCTTCGAGGCATGTGAATCTTCATCCTGTGCTGGATTGTATGTTCCTTAAGCAAGACTTACAACATTTCTTAAACTGGGTGTAGTGGTGCATGCCTATAATACTAGCATGTGGGAGGCTGAGGCAGGAGGATCACTGTGTGTCAAGGTCAGCCTGAACAACAAAACAAGAACCTGTCTCAAAAGCCCAATTCTGCCAACAAAACAAAACAAACAAAAAACAGAAACAAAAAACCCCCAAAGCTGCTGGGTTTATAGCTCAGTCATCTAGCATGCATGAGACCCTGGGTTCAATCTCCAGCATCACAAAACTCCAAAATCAAAACAAAACAAAACCCCCAGTCCTTTAATACCTCCAAGTATCAAGTTTAGGACTGGGTTCATAGAAGATACTCAGAACTGTGATTTGAAAACATTAAACAAAATTGAATAAAAGCAGAATTCAAAACTTCAACTAGATGATTATATGACTGACATTTCTTCCCTCCAAACTCTCTCCATGAGGGAAATGCAGCCAGCCAATACAACCACCACTGGCAACCACTGCCCATCACAACATGCTCTTTCATGGGCATAATGGAACTTCAAAAGCTTCTGAATAAGGAATAGTAGAGAGGCACTTAGTCCTCATTCTGATAGGAATATTCCATAGAGGCATTTAGTCCTCATTCTGATAAGATAATGGTGTTTTCTAGATCCTCAGAGATTGGTCTAATGGATCATTCACCTTCCACAGATCTCCACTCCACGCTATCATCACAAAGCATACGCAGGTTATCTGTTTCCAGCCTGTACAGTTTTTTTTTTATCATATATGGACCAATAAAATGAAACACAAGTATAGTATAAGCAATTTCTGTGCACAATTAACATAAATCATTTCAATTTGATTTTGCAAACTTTTTTTACAGTATGAACAAATTTCATCTGACGCTCCAGAAATTCTCATATCATACAAAATAAAGTCATGAGATATAATTCCTAACCTGTACTCAATAAAAGTATAAAGTATATGTCCTAAAATAATGTAAAATGCAGATTGTTTAAAATTTCCCTTTAAACTTGTAGTTTATGTTTTCTTTGAGTTTGGAAAGGGGTTAATTTTCTGATATAAGATCATTTTTCTTGCAATGTTTGCTGGATATGGTTAAAGATAGGTAGGTGTTTATGTATCTCTTTTGAGGGGGGCAGTACCGGGGATTGAACTCAGGACCCTGCGCTCGCCAGGCAAGCACTTATTCTACTGAGCTATCTCCCTGGCCCTTGTTTATGTATCTCAAACCAAAAATCAAGGTGGGAATGGATTGTATTCAGGCTTGTAAAAAATAACTGCACCACAGAGTGGAATTTCATCTCCGAAGGCATCACTATTTTGCACCTCACTACAGGATAAGATACTAAAGGATTAGACAGGCTGGCTTCTGTTTTCACTACAGAGTTGGTCCTCTGAAAAGCTCTGAAGCCAGTACAAAAAACAGCCCTTAGGGGCTGGGGATATACTTCAGTGGCATAAGTGCCTGTCTGGCAAGCGCAAGGACCTGCATTCAATCCCGAGTACTGCATGCCATGCCGGCCCTGGAATCTCATGGTGGTGGACGCTTATAATCCCAGCACTATGGAGGCTGAGACAGCAGGATCATTAGAGTCTGAACTGTGTAGTGAGACCCTGTATTTATATATTTAAAAAAGGAGCTTTTAGGCTGGGGATAGAGTTCAGCGGTGCAGTGCCTGCCTGGCAAGCATGAGGTCATGAGTTCAATTCCCAGTACCAGAAAAATAGAAAAAAAGAAAAAAAAAAAAAAAAAGGCAGCCATTTTCCCCTGTGCCCTGAATGTGTCCATACATGTCATGTGGCCACTGCTGAATCACCACTATCAGTCATTAGGCTGCCACTGCCAGGGTGGCAGGGTCACTAGGTTGAACGTGGGGTGTGCTGCAGTCAACGCAAGAGGAGCCCTGTGCGACTGCACTTCTCCTACCCCCCAGTGCTGCTAAGAGCTATCTCTTCCTTTGCTGCCTTATTGGCAGCACACCCAACACATCGATGGGAGTCTTATAATTACACACAAAGAAAGAAGACAAAAGGTTATTTTTGGACTGCTAAGAATGGTAGCAAATATACATAACAAAATTGCCATTTTAAAAATTGTGTACAGGGGCTGGTGAGATGGCTCAGTGGTCTAAAGCACCTACTTAGAACAA